GGTGAGGGGTTAAAACCAGCCGCCTCCAAGGCCGGTGAGGCCCCCGGGGTAGCGGGGCCCAGCGAGCCCTGCGCCCGGAGCCACCGCGGCACCCCCGTCCCCTGAGGCGGGGTCCGCCCTCACGGGGGATCGGGGGAGCGACGCTGAGGGGAGAAGCGTACTGGCAATGGTGCGGCCGGCGCTGTGCTCCCCCCGCCCCCGGGCACTCAGCTGTGGCAGTGCACGACCCTCACTGCTGCAAAGTGGATGCGATGCCCAGGTTCCTGTAGCAATTTATAGGCTTGGATTTTTCAGGAGACAGCAAACACTCTTACTTTCCCCAAGAGTCTCCCCTCTTCCGGATGGTAGCTGACATCTAAACTCTCCTGATGTTTTCCAGACTTCAGAAAATACCTATCTCCTCCCACTACTTTTGAATCCGTTAGTTGGCAATAGTGAAGCTCATGGGAATAGTAATACAGATTGTATTTTGCTCCCACTACTTGTGGCTATTCCTCTGTTCTGAAAAACTCTCACCTTATTTTCACAGCTAGCCAGAGTGGTCTGATGACAGGCAAAGGCACACGGAAACAACATCTTCCTGGCATGCAAAATTTAGCGGCACCAGTAGTTATTTCAGTTTATTTTGCTCAGATAAAAACAGAACTATAAAGTGTTTGGTACATTTTATTTAGTGACATACAAGAATATAAACTGCCACAAGTTAAATTTGCCACAAAACAGCTGGAGAATCACCCCACTCCCTCCCCCTAAAATTATGTATCCAAAGTGGTACTTTTCTGTGGAAAATTTGTACCAGAGAGCTTGTGGTACACCAGTTTATACTGCTGCTGCTTGATCATCTGTGTGGTATAAGAAAGTCAGAGAGTGCCCCTAGTTTTACTTCATAGTAACAGTAACTTCCTAAACATGTTCTTGTGATTTCCCCAACACGTGTGTTCCACTTAAATGCACAGCACCCAAAATAGATGGATATCACATATCTATATAGTCAGGATTCAAGCCCATTCTAGACAACTGTATCAACAGGTCACAAATTGGTATGTGTGATGGACAAGATAAAATACATGGTATAAGCTAAACATGCAGAGCACCCTTCAACCCTAGGTGTCAATTCTGTGGGTGTCCCCCACTATACTTCAGCCCAATGGAGCTTAACGTTAGCATCACTGACCAAACCCAAATCACAATTTTAATTAACAAATGCAGATATAGTTTCCTTCATGCTAGCACTACACCAGCTCTTCTCTCAGTCACTACTAGCTTTAAAGTGTGTTTTTATAAGCCTTTAAGGCATGTAAAATAATAGATGCTCAGAGGAAAAGAAGTGCCATAATTTACTTCTACCAGAAAAATACTTCACCCCTATTTGTTATTCTCTTCCTTTTCACTTTCTCCCCCTATCCCTCAATCACTGGAGTGGACCTAAATAATCTTCTATTACCAAATGAATTTCAGTAACTTCCATGCTGCATTCAGTTGCAGCCCCTTCTTCATCCCAACACTAAAATCTTTAGGAAAAAAAGGCAGGAAGATTAAAAAAGCCAATAGAATTTTAGAATTTAGGACTCTAATGCGGAATATAGAGGACCTGACCTCTATTTCAAAGTGGCCATAAATTCACTCACCCAGATCACATCTGGCTGATAGTAATTTATTTCAGAGACTGTTTAATTTCAGTTCACTCATTTTATCCTATGGATCATAAGATTTTTTGCAGTAATCCTGTCAAAAGGATTCCAAATATAAGGCTGAAGGTGTATTCAGGAAAAAAATAATATTCTAATCAATAATTTTTTACAAAATAATCCTCACAGACCCTCAGCGAGGTAGGCACATATTAAATCTCATTTTCACATACAGGGAACTGAGGCACAGAGAAGTGACTTCCTCGTGGTTAGAGCAAATCAGTGACACACAGAAAACTGCAGTTAGTTCCTGCTTCCAACCTTCGGATCAATTCATTAGACCAGGCTGCCTCAAATAAAAGTGAAACAAAGGTGTTGTTTGCTTTTATTGAGAAAACGGTCACTTAGATAGCAGTAGACTTTTTTTTTCTGAAAACCTCAGGGTCCTCTCTAGGTGAAAACTATTTCTGAAAAGACCTGGTTAAATACCAGGTTTTGAGGTGGTTTATTTCTACTAAGACAGGCAGAATATGAAGATTTTTAAGCAAAAACTCCAAGACATCAGAATGTGTACACATTCTTGTCTGCCATCACCTTAAACCACACGGCCTGCTTTTCACTACAGTCATTTGCTTCTTGCACTTCACTGAGTGTGAGCAGTAAACCTAGACCAGTCTGTTTAGCTCCTCCATTTTTAGGCCAAACCATCAACATAACTTAGTATTTCGAAAAGCAATACAAATATTTAAAGTTTAATCTAGAAAGTGTTGCATTAAAACCATTACTATGCATGGTATCACACTTCTACTGATATCAGAACTTAAAGAATTTTAAAAATAAACCAGACTATAAGGCTATATAGGATCTTCTTTCTCAAACTGCAAATACCAGCATTCTTCAGGGATTAGCAATTAAACACCCTTCTCCTCCCTAGCCTTAAGCCACTCAGCAATTTAGCAATTTGACTGTCAGGGCAGTATGACCATCATACATGGGCACCATCCACCATGTCCAACAGAAGCCAGTACAGTGCAATGCGTCCCCAATACCATATGAGACCCTAGCAGCATACAGACCCCAAGGAATCCTCTCCAGAACTGCCTAGAGAAATCTGGCTGACATCAGATCAAACTAGTATTTTTGAAAAGACTCAGCAGTGTGTGTCTCTGTTAACCTCCAGCTTTTCTCCTGCTCTGGAATTAATGCCAGGTAATTTTACCTTTATATATTGTCAAACAAATGTAATTTCCCACCCCCCACCTTAAACCTGTCCTCAGACAAAATGAATATTCTTGAATTAGAGTCTGGATCACAGACTCCAAAAAGCTGGAGTTGGTTTTCAGCTCACAGGGGGAAGGGAAGCCAAGCAAAATGTATAGTCTAGGACTGAGAGCTTAAAATGATTGCAGAGGAAAATTTTTCTTTTTTTTACTGTGGATGATTTCTCAAATTAAAAAAAATAATCATGCTAATTTTATGATTCCAGTAGTCTCTTAGTATCTGAAGCAGCAGAAACAAAATCTTCATAGAAGTGTTTGTAGTCGAGGGTCCTGACAATACTCCTGCCTAACTGGTGAACTAAAGAGAACCCAGACTCTTAATTGTGAGAGTCTTTCTCCAGTGCTGTTGAAAACCATAACTCACCATCAGTCTATCATTAACTCCAGATACAGGTTAAAAAAAAAAAATCAAATGAAAAACACCATTAGCAAAACCTGCTTGAAATGTTTTCCCTCAGGGCTACAGAAAAATTAGCCAAATTCTTTATTCCACTAGTAGTGAAACCGCCCCCCATGGCAATGGTTACATGATCACATTATCTCCAATGTACTTCAAGTCCATATAAAGTCACATTTATTTAGACTTAACACACATGGTTTCCAGTGATGCTTCTGGTTTAGGCTCCAGCTTCTCTGGGAATTCTAGTTTTTCACAGATTGTCTCCGTTATAGGTAGATACTGAGAGATCTCATTAGGTTCCGTGAACAGGGAAGGTGGAACATGCTACAAAACAAAAATTTTACATGAAACAAGTGAATGAAAGGAGGGGAAAACAAACAAACAAAAAAAGGTACTCCAAAACAAAACTTTTACAGATAATTAATCTATAATTTACCTGATTTAAACACCTGAAGTCAGGTATGATTATTCAAAGTTACCTTATAACTTCAAATGTACACTGAGTCTTTTATTCCTTGTGTGAATCAATAGGCTAAGGAAAGGTATTTTATGTTTTCCAGCAGCAGATTATAAGAATGTAAGAAAGTCAGAGACATTAATGAACAGCTACAATGTTTAAAAAAAAAATATACATTTATCAGTAACAGTCTTTTTGAGGTTCTGGTTCTAGGTGAGACTAAGATGCCCACAAGGGATCCCACACTTAATGTCTTCTAGCTATTACAATGGAGTTGCTCAGATTTAACTACTGATAACTGATACACCTCAACGTGCATCTCAGTTTTATGAATTCCACCACAGACAGACATATGAAATGCTGAAACTCACTGGATTTTAATTTCATATTTGAAGAAATTAGGTGTTTTCCTTAAGTTAACCAGTATCTTTCTCTGGAGATTCCTGTAGACAACTTAACTTCACCACATACAAGACATTTGATGGGAAAAAAAATCTACATTGAGCAATCCACCTTCAAACTTTCTAATAACATTCTTTAAGAAATTCAATTCCAACACAATCTATATTTTCAAACACAATCTGTATTTTACCTACCCCTAACACACAAGGAATCTTTTCTGCTTTACCTGTGCAAGCTGATCTAGGGAACTGAAGAGACACACGCATTTCCTCTCCATAACAACGGGCAGTAAGAATTATTTAACAGCGTAGAAAATTTTTAAACATGAGGTGAAATAAAACCTAGATCACTGGTTTATATTTCAAAACCCACAAAACTATCAAAAAGCTCATGTCTGGATTTAGTCCTGTTTATAGGGATCACATATTGTTAAAAAATTATACAGTGCCCCCTTCCTCAAAAAAAAAATATATTCCCTGAGAAGGTTAGTAACATCTCAGTTACTTCTTACAGATGAAGGAAAAACAAGGGAGAAGGAAAGTAACAAGAACAGCCAAGATCAGGTTTTGGGTCAAGAATAAAAATCAACAGCTGCAACTCCAAATGTGCCACAGATTATTCTGAGCCGTTACTATAGTTTTGAGGTGGGCAATTAAACTTATTTGAGAAAAACCAAATGAGTCTATTACCAAACAGATCTTAACCCCTAATACTACTTGCAAGCATACAACCAGCCCTGAAATTTAGTATCATGAGATAGGGACTATCTGATTTTGTGGCTGAAAATATTCTATGAAAAAATAAAATTTAAAAAAAATCTTGTTAGCTCAAAAGCAGAAAAAGTAACCCAATCCTGTATCTTGTCAAATCTGCCCTGAAATCACCCAAATAAATGTTGCACAAGCAGAAAGGTTTTTCCTCTGTATCAATTCCAACCCTAACAAAGAATGGCTCATAAACACAGTATTTTCTGTGCTGACCGTAAAACAACTTTAAGACACAGAAAAAAAATAAAATTAAAAATGCAATACCTTTAAACTTGATATTTTGCTTTCTCTGGATGTATATTCTCGCAACATGTAGGCCTTGTCAGCCTAATGGGGAAAAATGACAAAAATTAATTACAAAATTATCATCTAGTATCAGTGCAAAATGAGCATTTTAAATACACTGAATTTATTAAACATCTGAATGTAGTTGACCACAGATTTTCACCTGGGAGCAGAAATGTATGTTCAAATTCATGAACACAAAGATGTTTATCAATCTTCTCTTTCCCCAAAATCACCTTTCTGCGTGCATGCATGAAAAAAAAAAAAATAGTCTATGACTGAATATGCTTGTTAATCTTTACTAAGCTAGAACTCCTACATCAGGACAAACACAGCTAGACAGAATAAGCAAACCACAACTATTAAGTTCTGTATTTTTTATGAGATATTAGAACTCAATGTCGTGTGGACAGTTATTTCAAGTTAAAACTTGCAGTCGTGTATCAGACAAGCCAAAAAACTTTTACTTGGTGACAAGGATAACAATATCACACCATTTACTGTTGCCCATTTTTCCTCTTGTACATGCTGTCTAATCTGCATCTGTCAAATACATGTAAATGATTACTTCACATGAGGGGTAGCCGACTCTGCTCATACAATCATAGAATGGTTTGAGTTGGAAGGGACCTTAAAGATCATCCAGTTCCAACCCCCCTGCCATCAGCAGGGACACCTTCCACTAGACCAGGTTGCTCAAAGCCTCATCCAACCTGGCCCCACAGCATCCAGCACTTGGTTGCTACTTCAGTGCCACCACAATAATGAGATCAAGTTGAAAGTTCAGTTCAGGTAACCTCTATGTCCCTAAACATCGGTATTAAATTACAGGAATATCAGCAGGTCTTCCCTGAAAGTAACATGGCAAGGGAGCATCTGTAAAATACTCATGATGGCAAATAAGGGTTTACCTCATGATAAAGCCTTGTATCATTCATCCTGATAAGTACCCCATCAACTCGCAAGAAAAACCTCAACAGCACAAAAAAGCTGGAAGGCATAACTCTCTGCAAAAATAAAGATATTCCATTCAGCATATCAAAGTTTTACTTTAAGTATGCACTTATCCACATCAGATAATTACAACAAAAGACAGTGTGAGGAGCTTTCAGTATTAGAGTCAAAATCTGGGCCCTTGGTATGCGACAGCTATCACTGGACAGCAGGGTAGACAGTGTTTTAAAGGATTCTTAGGCAGGATGCAGAAAGAGGGAAAAGACTGTTCCCTGAAGCAACTGACAGAAAGATTTTGAGACAACATAGTTTCCAGTAAGATTATATTTCTAAGAGAGAGGACAAAGAGCTTTGCATTTTAAACTTTAAATCCCAGGAGGAGCAACATGCAAAAAGTGACTGCTTTTTGCAGATATTAGCCAGCTGAGTCACCAAGCGTCTTGTGTACCCCTGTCAGTACTCACTATTTTTACACTCAAACTTGATACTCCGTGATCGTGAAGTTCATCTTCAAACAGAAGTACTTCTTCAAAAAACATAATTTGTTCCCTGGCTTTCAATTTCTCTGTATTTATGTGTTCTGCTGTAGGAACAACCTAAAGAAAAAGATTAAGAACGGTTAGCGTATTCATTCGTTGCCAAGCCACGTAAAGTTTGTCCTGGTCTTTTAAATTCCACAATTGCTAGTTTTAGAAAGGAAAAAGCTTTAAGGACACTAAGCTTAAAACATCCCAAAGTTCTAAGACAAAAAGTTAAAATTAAACCCAAAGTTTTCAAAAGGAAACATCAATCAAAGCAAAAACCAAGAGTGGAAAATTGGGAATAAACTCCCCTCTGGGTACAGGCTCAATAGGGTTTCAGCTGCAAACAATTCTGTTCACTTTCTGTATTTCAAAACATTTGAAGATGCCTCGTGTTTAACATACAAATGAGAAATTCTAGGTTATAAACAGAATTCCATGCATTTAGTATCTCTAGCCCACTACAAATCTGGCACAGGATTCTAACAAAGCCTTTCCAAAGAGATCAAGTATCTGTACGTTTTCCATCTCATGGTCTCCATATACACTCATACACTTCTGCTGCCAAAACACTATGGGCCATCAAGACATCATTTATTTCTATGCTGCACTTTTAATTCCAGAATAACTCAAGTGATCTCTAACTAACACAATCCTAGTGAATTCATATAGATTATCTGCTCATGAGCAAGCAATCTGTATACAGTAAAGAGAAGTTGGGAACTTCAGTCTTATTTTAAAGTAAATAAAGACAAAGGAGGGCCTTTGAGTTTAAATATGAGGAGTTACTGTTGGAGAAAAACCTAAAGCCATTGAAAGCAACCAGATGACATATGTGCTTAGACAAATGGGCAAGCAACAGAGAGTAAAGGTACAAGAGAATTACAGAGTTGATAGCTTTGTTGTGTGTGAGGAGCTCAGGGCTTCATAGGGGTGTGCAGCAAGAGCTTAAGATTCCCATGTGCTTTACTATCTGAGTAAGCCCTCACTAAGGAACACAACTGCATCCTTTTATATAATCCCAAAATGCTTTTAAAAAACCCCTCAGTTATTAAAATAAGCCATGATTTGATTAGGATAATATGCTAAGAGATATGAAAAGCCCAAATTATACTTTGAGGTCAGAAACTAGGAAATATGAAAGATTTTACAGACGCCTATTGACAGGTAAATGACAGCTTTTTTTAAAAAAAAAACTTGTGTGTTTGACTAAAACAATATACAATCAGCATTTAACAAGGAGAACATGGTTACCTTTAACGTTGCAGTATCTCCCAGCAACGTTCCTTTGTAGTCTGTTGTGTAAGTCCAATCATATGGCTTGACAACTTCCTTAGTGTGCTCAGTCTCACTCCTCAAGAAGTGAAAGAGAAAACAGCATGCTTTGTAGTGATTCTTAAAAAATTACAACTTCACATAAGATTATGCATTGATTCCCTCGCGCTTCAAGAAGAAAAACAGCAGCGTTGTCTGTGCTGCAATGATGATGTCAGGACTCGAGTCATACAGTCATTGCTTCTTTCATATCTGTTTCCATAATAAATTAGAAAACAGTTACCAGAATTCCTGTGCTAACACTACCTCAGTCCTAAGAGTCAAAATAAAGACTTTAATTCAATGTTGTTGAAAAATTTGTATTTCAAGGTATTTTTTTCTTTAAGTAGGCAGAAAGCAATCTGCTGATAACACAGCAATCACTAACACTGCCTTAGTTTTCATGACAGCTTTGATTTCTCTCTGTGCTTAATTTCCAGGTGCTCTGCAACTAATTTGGTAAATACTAAGCAGTACAATTAGTTCCCACACAGTACAATGGTTGGGCAATGTTCCTAAGGCTAAGATTTTGAACACATACAGCATTTTGCACTTTGAAACGCCACTCAGTACAATCTTGTAATGCTCGAGGCCCTCTGAGTTTGAATAAACATAAACAGCATTAAGCCATGTTAAACTTGAGGTTATTTTAATTTAAGAAAGCCAAGACACAACTGAAAAATATAGCTGCCCCAATTTAACAGATAGGATGATCTAGGCAAAGGAAAGCTAAGTGACTCCTGTGATCACACACTGGATCTGTGGTAGAACCAAATGCTGCATGGCCTTCAAGAGTTCAGTCTGTTCTTTTAACTACTTTATGACAGTTTCACATACAACACACCAGTACTTGCCCGCTGGTGATAAAATACTGTACCTGCTCTCTTGCCACTCCTCTGCACAAGCCACTTTGATCATACCTTGACAATTATTGACACATTTTAAAGCATCTGTTGCATTGAATTCGATTCCAAAACCACGATCATGCTGTATTCGTAGGATATTGTCTCCAAACATCATCTCTGGCAGGGAAGGCATGTGTAATTCATCAGCCAATCTGCACAGAAAAATAAAAGTCCCATGAAGAGAGATCAGTCAGCTACAGCTCAATGAAAGCAGTCCTTGTCTTGGAGTAAGTGTTCTTTAGACCATGGTAATTTAGAAGACACACCATCAACATGTTCTGCAAAACTGTTGTTTTCCCAGTTTAATCATTTGACATGAATTGCAGAGTCATTGATTTGAAGCGACTTTTCCACCACAAAAGTACTCCTGCAACATTCCTTCTCCATCAGACTTGTACAAAAGTCTCCTACATAAAGAATCAAAAAAATATTTGATAAGCATGAAGTAGCAGCTTTCAACCTGTTGTAGCAAATCCCTGGATGGTCCATTAACTCCTTTGGCAGGTGCCCAAAAAGAAATTTCAGGAATGAGCACTACTGTCAGCAGGTTTAAATTCACTGCACAGTGTTCCATATCTTCATATTTAGAAACCTACAAAATGGGGCTGAAAATAACCCTGGCAGAGTATGTGAAAAGTACAGAAGACACCACTGTGCTCTACTACTTTCCTAAACTGGTAGAGAATACATACTGATACTTGTAACCTTAGGCATTACTTACCAAAAGGCTTCATATACTTCTTTTCCTCCCTACCACTACCTACTTCACTTACCAAGATCAAAAAGAAATACATGACATCTGGAGAGAAGCAAATTTTAGGAAATACACTAACTACAAGAAGGGGAGAAGACAAGCATCCTAATGGCAACTTTCACTTTGATAATAAGGCATTCTTGAACAAAAGCTGCTATTTCTGTAACCCATTATACAAAAGAACCTTTATCTAGTGGGGTTCCTCAAGGGTCAGTACT